CAGGACCCTCAAGCTCCCAGGCCTCTGGTAGAGGACCCGAGCTTGAAGGATAAACCGCCCGCAGGGGCGTGCTGGGTGGTTTTTTTTTATATATATATATACACACACACACACAATACACATGCAAACGACTGTGTAACAAAATTAAGAGAATACTTGAATAACCTTAACTTTTTGATACCTTAAATATCACTATAATTTACCCGCAATATTCAATATGACCCAAAATAAATGACCAAACCCATAAACACATTTGGAATGTTTCTATAGGAGCCAGGGCTGACAGCCATTTTCCAATAACTGTTTCTAAAACCTACAATCATTTTTCAGCCACAGTTATTGCCCCCTTAGTGGCCATTAAATAGAATGTGGACTTAAGGGCACTTCAACTTTTCAGTCCCCCATGTTTTCATCATTGAGGTTCCTTCGTTTGCCTGTTAAGACAGAAGTGCTAGTATCATTGTTTAGATATCTTTACTAGAAACATTGCATCTATCGAGAAGATTCTATTTTATATACACACACTGCTAGGTAATTGTATTTTCTGTATTAATTAGGTTTTATCTTTATATTTATAACTATTAAAAGCAATTCCTTTTTGCTATACCAAAGGTTCTATCTCAACATTTTTATTACACTCAAAACAACGTGTAAAAAAAACTAACTGACTAATTTAAAACTATAACTATTTCTGAAGTTTCTATGTGAGGTTTATTTTTCTGCTTCACAGAAACACTGTAAATGCCTAACTGACATGAGCATGAGCATACACAAAGAGCACAACTTACATGCTAGTGCATAGTGGTTATGTTAACTCCATCTTGTTTCAAAGGTATAATACAGATTATTTGAAGTTCACTATCTTAGTTTAATGTGTCAGCAAGCTAAAATTTAATTACTTGCACAAAGTTGAGTCCTAATGAGACTGTTTTAAAACAGTACCATTAAATTGTTATAGTTACATCTGGGGAAGTTAAAATGTACCTAAAGTTAGTAGAATCTATCTTCTTGGGGCTGTGAGACATTAAACCAAATGTTACACTTGTTGAGCAAACTACACAGAAAATAGTGCCGTTATCATGATAACTGATGATATTTGGCAATGTAAAAATATTGGCAAAGCCTCAGAATTACATCAGTCTCATCATCTCACTTTTTGAGCATTTGCTGTATGTTAATCCAAAGCTACTTATGCTGATTACATATACATCCCATCATGTAGTTAAATCTTAACTTAAATGTGAATAAAGTTACCTGGTAAGACAAAGCAGACTGTCTTAGTGTGTAAACCCTTTCATATCTACACATCTTTGACAAATGTTTACTCAAAGTATGATTCAGTGATTCATAGATGTATTTTACATCAGCAAATTTACTTATGTCAATGAAAGATACAGAGGCCAACCCACAGTTTAAATTCTCTGGGCTGGTCTTTCTGACAATGACGTGAGAAAAGCATGCAATCCTTGTTTGACAATGTGTCGTTCTCATGAAAATCTGTCCTGAAAGTGTTCCATAATAAAAACAAACAAACTGTATGACAATTCAGTTTAAAATATTTTTCTTTATAATGTTGATGTTTGTCCAAGATTACCATTAAAACTGAGGTATGGAGCATGAGAGAGGGAGTGACAAAATATATCATGACTCAAACAGATGAAGATGAAATGTTGTTATAAGACACTTCATGGGTGTGATTTTAATGTAGACAAAAAGGTGAACACCCAGGATGCATCTTCTGCTCCTCCTAAACTGCAAACATCAAATGAACTATATTACACGGCCCTTTCGGTGAGGTATCAGTTGGTGCACCTTTCCCTCTCTCTGGACAGGGATTGCTCAAAGCCATGAGGTCAGCCAGCATGCAGCTAGAATGGGTGATACCATGGCTCAGCCTTTGCCTTGGCCTATCAGCAGCCACCATTGGTATGTAGTCTATTGTAACACAAAGAGAGTGGTATCCATGACTGTGTGAAGATGAAACTTTAATTATTTCAGCTTTCTTTTTCTTCTGTTTTGTGTTACATTAAGATGAACAGAACTCAAGTACAAGTCATATTTGTCTTCTGACATAATGACGATATGTAGGTGTTATAACTTTTATCTTCTTTTTCTTCTTTTTAAGTCACGGTTCAGGACACTGGAAAAATTCCAGTAATTACAGGTAATTTTTTTTCAGAGACAAAATAACGCAATGAATAAATAAATGATTAACCATTACACTAGTGTAATGACTTATTTTCTTTCAAAATAGTAGTGAGCCCATCTCACAACAACCAGTTCTGCAGCACATGGGGAAACTACCACTTTAAGACATTTGATGGGAATTTGTTCAGGCTTCCATCCACTTGCAGCTACATCTTTGCATCCCAGTGTAAGGCAGACTACAACAGTTTCAACATTGAGCTCCAACGACAGGAGTCCGATATGGTTACCACCATAAAGAAAGTCACAATGAAACTGGATGGTGAAGTTGTGGAATTAGGCAATGGATTCATCAAAATCAACAATGAACCGTGAGTCTGTCTTACAAATGTGATTTTTCATTGACAGCTGATGCACTGGTTTAATAGACGATTAATATTTAATCTAACTATGATGATTATTTTTTTTATTCCTTATAGTGCTAAAATACCCTTCAGTCGGGGTGGCATTTCAGTAGAAAGCATTGCATCCTATGTTAAAGTTCAGGCAAAGCTGGGATTGGTCTTAATGTGGAATCAAGAAGACTCCCTCTGGGTATGCTTTTTACCTACTGTGTTCGACGCCACTAATGTTTCTGAAGTAATCTATAATAAATAAATTATGCTGATTATAATTACTAAAGAAAGCTAAGTGGATTTTGTGCTTGATACAAATAAATCTCATATACTGCAGATTATAGTAAATAAACTGTATATTATAGTGAACAAATAACTACCAAAGTGTGCTATATGATTTAAACACACTGTGTGTGTGTCGTGTATTGCTACAGAAATGTTGAGTTTTTTAATTAATATTACCTTTAGCACGGGTAAAAAGCAGCTTTACCAGAGTATTCCTCACTGCACTGTATTATTCAAATAGTAATTATAGATTTCATCTTTATTTCTGCATTTAATTCATATCTAATTTTTGAAATGGTTTTAAGGTTGAACTGGATGCAAAATTCAGAAATCAAACTTGTGGTCTGTGTGGTGACTTCAATGAACTGAATAATGAGTTCACAAATTCAGGTAAGAACTAAATCCTAAAGCTTAAAGAAGACTACAATCCAATTCAGTGATCAAACTTGCTAAAACATAATTTCCTATTAGATACAGGGGCTTCTTACTGTATTGAAGAATATGGGGACAAGTGGAAAATCAGTGGTCTGTCTGACAATTGTGAGACCACGTCCTTTAAAGCCAAAGAGTCATGTGAAGTTCCGGTATGTCAAATTATTTTTGCTTGGAAGTATCTTACATATATTTAAATGCATGATATTAAATGCATAATAATCTTTGACCAACAGGAAGATCTCTGCCAGAAACTGAAGACTGAAAGTGCATTTGACAGTTGTCAAGGCCTGATTGAAACCGAGTCCTTCATTGACGCCTGTAAGGAAGATCTGTGCTCCTGTGTCAGCAATGATACGTCTTGTGTGTGTGCGACCATGTCAGAGTACTCCCGTCAGTGTGCTCATGCAGGCGGGACACCAGGGCAGTGGAAGAACCCAGATTTCTGTGGTAAGAACATAAACAAGGGGATTTGTTGTTTTCACTGTACTAACATCCAGTAGCGGTTTCAGATACGGGCGATACGAGCGGTTGCCCGGGGCGGCATCGTGGTGGGGGGGGCCTCATGGGCACCGGCCAAAAAAAAAAAAATGCTCGTACTCATGCTGCCCTGACGTCAGCCAGCGCTTATTGGGAATGGCATAGGCACCGATTGGTTTTCTATTGCCCATTTGCTGGGAGTAAGGGCGTCCTTCCTGCTGCTTGCTGTGCAGAGAGGGGAGGGCGGGTGATTCTGTGACCGGCTGGAGCAGCATCTAATAACCAACTCGCAAAATAAAACAAAATAAAAACAAACCAACAAACACGAAAACACCAGACATTATGATACAGACTTATAATTTGCACCGATGTTTTTTGGAAATTCTATACACAAAAAGTGAGCGTGAGAGCCTTCGGTGCGCCTGCTTGCTCCTGAAGTCAAAGTAAACTTTATTGTCATCTCCACTACATACAGTCCAGTATATAGAGAGACGAGACGACGAGGCTCCAGTTACAGCAGTGCAAGTAAACAAACAATAAATATAAGAAGAGTAAGAAAATAAATCTACACTTTAGGACTAGAGGTAAAGGGATCAATAAGAATTTAAAATTTTCTGAAATCTCATAAATGCACCCTAGACAAAGTGAATCTGTGAACTAAGGTGTAGGTGTGTTAGATCATGTTGTGGTGATCCTTGGGTTGAGGGATGGGTGTTCATACTGGAGTACAAAATTAAAACCAATGGAAATGGACAAGAAGTGTTCGCCCAAGGCGCCAACCAGGCTAGGACTGCCACTGCTAACATCACAATTACTTGTTTATTAATTTTAATTCTAACTTTTGTGTGCTTAAAAGGAAAATCATGCCCCTTCAACCTGGAGTATAAGGAATGTGGTAATCCCTGCATGGACACTTGCAAAAACCAGGGCACAAACCAAGTGTGTAGTGAACACTGTGTTGATGGATGTTTCTGTCCATTTGGTAAGTTTTTCTAACTTCTAGAGGATAATATTCTTTCTTTTTTTTAAAAAATTGGGGCTAGTATGTATTCACTATTATAATTCTTAGGTTATCACTTTTATTCTTTAAATGTATTATTTTTCCTTTTGACACTCTATAGTGTATTTGTGAAGCTAAATTGGATAATATTTGATCAAATGTTGCCATCCTGGGTTGCAACGTTTACCACAGTGAAATCTAAGAAAATTTCTTCTTAGGTCTTTTTAGCCCATTGGGAAAGTGAGGAAAGTGAGGACATCTATGTTAAAAAATAGGAACATTTGGGGCCTCAAAATGTGCCGATGACATACCCATCAGACCTAATGGTGATTTTGTGTATTATCATAAAACTATCTGTTTCCAAAGGGACTGTGTTGGATGATGTCACACATACTGGGTGCATCACTGTTGACAACTGCAGCTGCCTGCATAATGGAGAAATATACCAACCGGGGCAATCCTACTCCGGGCCATGCAAGAGCTGGTAACTGTATCATTTATAACTTCATATCTATATTCACACTGGTTTATGAAGATGAACTGACGGACCTCTGTTTAACAGCACCTGCAAAAATGGTGAGTGGATCTGTAATCTTAAAGACTGCCCTGGTGTTTGTTCCATCCTGGGTGGCTCTCACATCACCACCTATGACGATAAAACGTATATGTTTCACGGAGAGTGTTCTTATGTTCTGACAAAGGTGAGGTGAAACAGAAAATAACTTTCTTTTGTTTTTTATATTATTTTTATTGTTATTATTCACAAACATGTATTATACATGTAAACTACATGTGTAAGTGCATTTTTGACTTTTCAATTTTAGGAAATCAAAGGGACTTTCAGCCTTCAAGGCGACTTGGCTAAATGTGAAAAATCTGATAAATCAACTTGTCTGGCTTCAATCACTCTACTACTGTCAGATCATGTGGTAAAATATGTGTATATTTTTATCCAGTTTATTTTGTTTTCCAATGGTTCAGATGGCTTTTCTGATATAGTAATATACTTTGTCCTATAGATTGTTAAAATTGATGCCAGTGGGCAGGTCTTTTACCACACACTGCTCACTCAGCTTCCTCTCTTTTTGGGTGAGCACTTGTTTATCTTTTAGTGAATGAAATCTCAACATTTAAATGAGTCTCATCATTTAATTTGAAAATATATACGTATAAAATATATTTCCCTTTACAGATGATATCAAAATTTTCCACCCATCTACATTCTTTCTTGTAATGCAAACCACCTACGGGCTTGATGTTGAGATTCAGCTCACACCTGTTATGCAGGTCTACATCAAAGCCAGTGTATCTAATAAAGGAAAACTTGTCGGTGGGTTTGGATTTTGATTGGTTTTGGGATTAAGTTTAAAGTGTGAAGATTGTTATGTTACACCATGATCATCTTTATCCAGGTCTGTGTGGAGATTTTGATAACGATGGATCACAGGACTTCCAAACAACCTCCGGTATAATTGAAAAAACAGCTTGGACATTTGCCAACACATGGAAAACCAAGCCAAACTGCCCTGATGTGACAAATATACTCGGGGACCCCTGTAGTTTGAGTACAGAAAAGGGTAGGTCACAGTCATCATGCTCTATGTTTTGTTGATGGCTCATCACTTTTTAAGTAAACCTGTTTCTTTCTGTAGAGGAATATGCCAAACACTGGTGCTCCCAGCTGTCAGACCCAAAAGGTGTTTTTTCACTGTGCCATCCTGTGGTACACCCAGTAGAATATCAACTTGTAAGCAGGGATTTCTTCTTTTTTGTAATCAAGTGTATGTTTTTATTTTAATTATTTATTAGCTTTAACTGATGATTAAGCTTTTTGCTGTTTCTCTTCGCAGAATTGTATTTATGACACCTGTGCCTGTGAAAAAAGTGAGGATTGCTTGTGTGCTGTTTTGTCCGCCTATGTTCATGCATGTGCTATTGAAGGTGTATTATTGACTGGATGGAGGAACAACACATGCCGTAAGTTTAAATGAAATTATCTACTACAATAAATCATATCTGTCTCTGTTTAAACTGTAAAGGGTCCTTTTTTCTTCCAACAGAGAAATACACAAATGACTGCCCACCTACTTTTGTGTATGACTACAAAATGACAAGCTGTGGTCGCACCTGTCGCTCTCTTAAGTCAGATTTAACATGTGGGGTTGATTTTACTGAGCTTGATGGCTGTGGCTGTGCTGAAGGAACTTATCTAAATGAGAAGAACGAGTGTGTGTTACCCTCACAATGTTCCTGTTACGCTGGAGACACAGTGGTGCATCCCGGGCAGGTTACTACACTCAGTAATGGACAGACTTGGTATGTTTTTCCATATATTCTGTATTTTTATTAATTCATTAATTTAGTTATTTATTTATTTTGTGTTTTGATGATGTTTTATGGTCAACATAAATTAGATAAGAACAAGGGAAGAGAAAACACCAATAATTTAGTATGCTGTGAAGTACTGCACTTGTGCTTGCCAAGATGTTTTTTTGGTGCCTTTATACTTGTAGAAGAGTATGCGATTGATTGGTTGTACTTTGCCCTACAAAAGTCTGCCTAAAGTGGAGTGAAATTGTGGCCAATATATGAGACAAAAACTGTAAACTTGTTACATTTCTATTTTTTGTCTGGAACTTTTTTCCCATGTCCATTTTTCATGGGGCAAGATATTTGATACTCTGAAACCAGGTATTAGTAACCAATGTTCCTTCTAATTTTTTATGTGTCTGAGCAAACACACAAACTCTCTGAGCGGTCCCTTGGACCACCATAAGCAACATTAGACGTGTGCACATCATTGAATCCATCCAAGTTACATGGTTTATTAAAATAATCAAATTACAGCATTTACATTTATGTTGGACTACTTTTAATTAACTGCTTTAATCCACTTACAATGAAAATTTAAAAAAAATATCTTGTTCAAGACCTGTGTAGTATGTTAACACTATTGGAAGTAAAAATAACTTGAACTCCAATTTTGAAAACACAATTTTATTTATTTATTTATTTTTTTTAATAAAGCTCTGACTGTATTATGAGTATGAGTCTGTGGTCTGGGAGAGAGTCTTGTAACTCTCTGTCTGTAAAATACAGTATATGATGACCAATGTTGGGCAATTAATTATATAGTTACTTCTTCTTCAAAAAAAAGAGTTTTGCAAACAACTAAATTTTTTGCAGCTATTTACCTAAAAATGTGTCATGGTCCTGGGTCGTGTGACCCAGTGTGTTATGCTTAGCCTATTTTGATGTTTATTATTTGTTTAGGTTCTCTAAGGTAGTCCAGCCATTTGTATATATCACCCCTGCATTACGTCTCCCTTGCCCTTCGTGTGTTTATGTCTGTGTGTCTTGTACTGTCAAGTTCATGCTGTCAGTTATGTCACCTCCCCCTGTACTACGTCTCCCCGGTTCATGTCTCATGTTTCCTGTTTTACTTTGAAGGCCTGCATTCACTGTCAGTGTATTCAGTTTTACTCCTCCTGTCCTGTCGTTAAGTTCATGTGTGTCAGCTGCGTTCCCATGTGTGGTCACTTCCCCTTCGCCACAATATATTAAGTAATCCAAAGTACTCAGAATACGTTACTGTCATTGAGTAACGTAACGGAATAGGTTACAGAATACATTTTGGGGCATGTATTCTGTATTCTGTAATGGAATACATTTTAAAAGTAACCTTCCCAACACTGCTGACTCACACTGCAAAACAGAATAAATTGTTTTAATTCCAATTCAGGTTAGATTTTTTTGGTGCGCAACACAGATTTTCTGTGTGCGGAGACCGTGCCAGCAGTGTGTGATTGCACACACGCTTAGAAGGAACATTGCTAGTAACCATTGAATCCAGTTGGATGTAACATCGTTTCAAGTTGACATTGGGCCATAGCAATGCAAACGTGTGGGTTTTGATAGGGTGAAGCAAAGTCAATTAAATACGAGTTTTTTGCTTTACAGTAGTTAGCCTTGAGGGTCCTAAAAACACCATTGTGCACCATTTCAAATAATCTTGTCAAATAGTCCAGCTTGATAATTATTGATATTATTGTGAGATGTAAAATAAAACTGTATTATTGGCAAATTATACATTAAGTAACAAACTGAAGCCACTGTGAAGTGGACATGGACACACTCAGAAAATGGAGACATGCCACACAGTCCAATGTGAATCAAAACAAGCATGCTAGACACACTTGTCAACAAAAGATGGCAGTAATTTAAAGGACGAGTGCAAATAAATAAGAAAAGTTAAAAAAGAACATTGTTTGAGATGAAATGAAAGAGAAATTGCTTTCACTTTGGTAGTTTTATTTGATAGCTATTTTTAGGCAGGGGCAGGGCATGCGTGTTTGGCTTCTTTGTTTTTTAACCCTGTTACAAAACAAATAACTCATTTCATTCAGCAAGTGGACTCACTTAACTCTCAGGGCCTATGCAAATGTGCAAAGAAGTTAAGATTCTGGCAAATTCAAGTTTCATTATCAAAGAACTTTATTGCTTCACTGATGTGGTTCAGCTTGTGACATGCCCAAGTATCACCAAGTGAAGTTGTCCCAGGAATGTTTAACCTGAATACACACAGCTGCAATTGATACCTTGTTATTTCATTGAACTGATACAATGCATCTCTTTTCTTTGTCTTGCCTATCTTCATTTATGTTTCAGCTCTTGCTATGGTGGAGAATTAACCTGTTCAGGAAAACAAGTGATTCAAAGTAGGTACAAAGTACTTAATTACTGTTCATTAAATGGTTATTTCTACTGAAAAGCAAAGTATAAGTAAATACAACCATACAGTTGTGTCCTTTTAAAGACACTGTCATTGTTCTCAGCATGCACAAGCCCAATGGTTTTCCTCAACTGCTCAAATGCAAAGCCGGGAGAAAAGGGATCTGAGTGCCAAAAAAGCTGCCAGACACTGAACAAACAATGTGTAAGACTGAGAAGCTGATTCATAACTACCACACATGGACATTACAACAGCATAATCAGTTATTAAGCATATTGATGAAATATGTCTCTGTTATCCTGAACAGATCAGCACAGATTGTATCTCAGGATGTGTATGTCCTGATGGCCTGCTATCAGATAATAATGGAGGCTGTGTAAAGCAGGAGGACTGCCCCTGCCCATATAATGGACAATACTATAAACATGGACAATCTGTTAAAGTGGACTGCAATACATGGTGAGGGCTTTTTTTGTTCTTCTTGGGGTTTTTTCTAACAATTTCCTGTTATTTACCCATCCCTATGGTGTACATTTTAGGACATCGTCAGGTATCAGACAAAAAATTGTCAGGTGTCAGTTGTCAAAAAAAAAA